CACCCACACCTAAGTATGCGCTCGGGACAATAAATCTGTGACTTGCCTAGAGTCATATGCAACGACCGGTCCTTAATCGACATAGACAGGGAAAAAGTGTAACCGAGCTATGCCCTGTTGGCCGCAGGACACAACCCCTCACACCCACCAGTACCCAAACCATATCCCTGCCCGGTCACCACTTTCCTTTTCTCCATTTTATCATGAGTGATCATATTTTATTACCTATTTGCGAGTAATGACAGGTTACTCACGCTATCGATATCCTGAGCATAGCAGCTACTCGATCTGTACTAGTAAGACTTATAGATAGATATATTTATGCAGGTAGTTTCCATAAAATGACAGTAACTTAAATGCACATCACATATATATATTTAGTGATTATTAAAATATGGGTTATGCTCCGGGGCTTGCCTTGGGCAAGCGACGGGTCAGTAGGGTCAGCACCAGCAGACTCCTAGGCTCCCTCCTACATGATGATCTCCTCCTCATACTCCTCAATCACCTCGTCGTACTCCTGTTCGTCGACGGGCACGAGTTCTACTAGCTCGCGATCTACATGAAATGACAATGCAATGTTTAATAATATGACAACAAAAATTCTTAAAATAAAAGTACATCGATTTAACTACTAAGCTAGTGATACCGACCATGGTGCTAAGCTATCTATTGTTACCGATAAGTTTGAAATATGACATTCGTTATTACTATAGCAACTATAGGTGTTCTTACCCCTAAAGCTAATTTTACGCTATATACGATAAAGCAAGGGTAATGGCTACTCTATTTAACAACGCATTGTAAGGCTACAAAATTTACAGCAAGTATATAATAACCTAGCGAGTCTACTGTAAAATTTTTATATCCATAACTATCACCAATCTTCCACAAATATTCCTACAACTATTAATCTACATAATATTAGCTTTCTGGTTTTGAACTTATGACCCAATACTTGCCACAACTAACTGCAATCAAACTATACTAATAAATAGACGGTATTTTTGCAAACCTAACAAAATTAGTCTCACTATTTTTGGACCACTACTCAATTTACTACAAATTATTAAAGTTCAGCTTGAAAACTAAATTGCATAAGCATTTCTACTTTACTGGAAATTGAAGAAACCGAATTCTAACTCGCGGCCCAACTCGTGCGGCTCGGCCCACAACGACACGGCGCGTGCGCCAGCCAGCCAACGGCCCGCGATGAGAGAGACCCGCACGCGACGACAAACATGCAAAAACACCCCCGAACTACCCTGTATTTTCTGTGAGCTCTACGACACTATTCTTCTAGTCTACGGTTTTACAGCTACGCCCTTCCCCTTCTTCTTTGTCGCGGCGACATCCCCCGGCACCCGTGCGCGCACTGGCGCGACGGCACGGGCACGGGGCGACCACGCCGGCGTCACCCAACCCTCCATTTCCTATCTAAGGGACCGATGGTTACCTCGATGACAATGTGCATCGACTAGAGGCGATACGGCTAACAGGGGCGTTGTCCCGGGCTCCCTCCCCGGCGGTGGTCCTTTACGATGCGACGGCGCACAGCGATGGCACGGCCGCATCGGGGAAGGCTGGGCTGCTGTAAGCTATGACTGAGGTGCGCAGGGTGCTTAGGAGGGTAAGACTAGGCTAGTGATGCAATGAATCGCCACGGGGTGCTATGAGTAGGTGGCTTGCCCATGGCGTGCACTCGTCCGGTCTTAAGGACCCGGCAGAATGGTGATTTGGAATCGAGGCACCGTGCAGCGGCACCTACATCGCGGTGGGGTAAGTTGGGTGACCGGCTACCTAGCGGAGCCGAGGGTGAGACGAATTGGAGTATAGTGTTGCGGTCACGACAAATTGAAGGAAGGGGTCCCGCCGGCCATGGCGACAGCGAAGACAGGGGAGCTTTGGCACGGCTTGGTTCGGCCCGGCTGTGGATGTCAACGCAAAATACAAGCACACACAACTATGGGGAACAACGGGACGTGCTCCAGGCGGCTGTCCGCACGGCCGAACCCAAGACGCCGATGAAACTTCGGTACGGCGCCACAACGGACAGCGCCGGACAAGAGAAGCATAGCGCAATGTGACGCCGAGGTGATGGTGGAGTAGGCGGTCGTCCCACGCGCGAAAGCGACCACGGTGAGTCAACGAGCAAAGTTGGGCGTGGCGATCGGCGGCGTAGCGCGCGATTCGATCGCCCCGGCCAGAAAGGCAGGCGAGCACGGGTCGGTGTCCCGGACGCATCGCGTCGCCCACGCTTACATGTGACCACAAGGCCAATGAGTGGCGACAAGCGACCAAGGCGCGCGCCCGCCAGACCTTGTCGCGATGTGCCTTCACGGCGGTAGTGAGGACACGACTGGCGCTTCGCTGCTGCTGTATGGCGGCGCAGCGCCGCCAGCGGCAGCGGCCAGCCAACGCTACGGCAGGCGGCGGCCTTGGCCTACAACGCAAGGGCCATGAACGTGCGTACACGCGACAAAGCGAGGGTAGCGGCAACGGCAAGCCAAAGAACGGTGCCAGGCCAGCAGAGGGTGGTGACCGTGCCCAGAGCTAAACCATGTGCGTGCACGCTTTTTAAAGCAGCTCAAAACTCGAACCCGATATCTCAATGCCAAACCAGTTGTTCGATGCGTAAGAGGGTACATAGGGCTATCGACCGAGTCATGACATCTTGCCACTTCCTAAGCCGATCGTTCTACAACAATTGCCAAAAGTGGCTTCATCGACCCATTTTCAAACTTACGCGAAAAGACTTAACTTCGAATGGTTACTCATCGAATTACAATTTAGACCTACTGGGTATTCTAGCTAACGAACCTCGTCCTCGACCGCACATATTTCATCGTCGCCTACGAAGTACGTACTATCAACTCTATCAAGGTTCGCATAGACGTTCTATAGCATTTTTATCCGATAAAAATTCGCTTAGAATACTAACAATGTAAAACGATATGAAATGTAACATTTGTTTCTTGTCTCAGATAAACATGTCAAGTGACGTATATTGATTTATACTCCAAATTACACACAGGTACAGACAAGTATGATGCTCATGCGGTGTTTTTAACAAAACGGTACAATGTAACACCAATGGTGTTACACGTGGCCGGCCACGTCTTGGCAAATAAGGCGCGTATTAGTGAGACATCCAAATGCGGGCGACGTCGAACGTCCGAAAGGGTGACCACGCCCACGCCGCCAACCAAATGAGACCGTGTCGTGCACGAATTTTAAAGCGCCTATAAAAACTAGACGGTTGCTTCTGGACCTAAATCATCTCCACCATACTCAAGATGGCATATGAGGCTACCAATCCGAGCTAAAATATAACATCTTTTCTTAACCCGATTTTGCAAAATAAATTATCAAACATGGCATTGTCTAACTGTTAACGTACTTAAAAATATTCTAAGTCTTTTGAGCTGAACCTGATTCCAATTTGTATTTCTAGGCTATTAGAAATGTTGGCTAGCAATGTTATTTTTCTACAGCAAATATTTCATTGTCATCTACAAAGTTCATATTCCAATCTTTATTTAAGCGCCACATATATGTTCTATAGCATTTTTGTTCAATAAAAATTAGTTTTAAACCCTACTTGATATACATGAGCTATTGAATCAACTTTCGTTTAACATTTTTATTAGTCATTTTAGGTTATAAGAAATTGATCTTCACACTTTATAACATATAGTAACACATAAACATGATGCTCATGACATGTTTTAGTAAATGATTTAGGGTGTAACACCGAGGGTGTTACAACTGACTACGCTAAAAGTAAGTTGGCTAACAGTTTACAGCTAATACTCCCTCTATTTCAAAATTTTAAATTATAAGACATTTTATTTTTTTAATATATAGTTTTTACTATGTATTTAGATATTTATTTAGATATATAGTAAAAAATCAATATATCTGGGAAGGTAGTTTTCTAATTTAAGATGGAGGGAGTATTAGTCAAATAACTATAACTGACTACCTACTAGATGGTTGTTGTTTGGATCAAGAAGCTAAAATGTTGATGCATCGATGATTTTGTCTATCATGTACCCTGATACCTGATAGATGGATAGGTGAATGTTAAAGGACAAAAGTGTCACTAACTATTAGTTCTATGCATCAAACATGCTCTAACACTGTTAGAGCACGACCAATGCTGATTACCAAAAATGTTGGTCTTAACAAAAACTACTCCACACGGTAGCTCTAGAATCTAGATGGACAGAGCCTCCAATTTTCATAGCCCAAGCCACAAGTACTTTTTTACATCTTGAGCCCACCATTACTTCTCTCCAAACGTTGCTCTAAAGCCATTAATTTTCTAAATCCATCAGTCAAATGTCACAGATGTTTCTACGTGGTTCGTGTCTTTTCCGGTCCAAACCAATGCCTCTTGTAACGAGGCCACGAGCACCCTATGCAAGACAATATGATAACTTTTCCAACGCACCACCATGGATTATTGTCCCAGCCTCCACGTCTACGTTAAGGCTGTGTTTAGTTGTAGGAATTTGGATCTTTGATACTATCAGTAGCACGCTTCGTTTTTATTTGGTAAATAGTGTTCAAACGTGGACTAATTAGGCTCAAAACGTTAAGCTCTCGCAAATTTCCACCAAACTGCATGCAATTAGTTTTTCTTTTCGCTTACATTTAATGCTCTATACACGGGCCGCAAATATTCGATGTGACATGTATCAGTAGTAAAATTTTGGAAGTTAGGGTGGAACTAAACAAGGGCTAAGTGTTCAAGTCACGAGTAGTAGGCTTGCAGTCCTAGGGGCCATTTGGTAGTGCTCCTGGAACCGCTCCGGAGCCGCTTCACTTTGTTGCCAACTAAATGGGTGTTCACCGCTTCGGCTTCTTTGAAGAAGTCTCGGAAAACACGCTAAGAGAAGGCACGACCGAGAGCCGGAGCGAAAAAATATTGGCTTCCTCCGGCCCTCCGTCCAGTGCATGTGGGCCCTCCCAAACCGCCCTTCCTCCGAAAGCGTATGCAGCAGGCAGAGGCAGACCGAGCAGACACGCCGAGCTCTGGGCGAGGTAGAGGCGTGAGAAGCCAAACAGAGTGCTGCGGCGAGGCGCAGCGGCCGGACAAGCTCACCGGGCGCTGGGCGAGGCGGCGGCGGCGGAGGAGGAGCGATGGCGGCAAGGCGGCACAGAGAGGTGAGGGCAGCAACGGCAAAGCGGCACAACAACTGTGGTCGAGACGACGCACTTCCACGCTATGTCTTGAAAGCTCAGAGGCCGAGAGCTCGAGGAAGATGAGGATGCGGAGCATGACAGACAGAGCTACTGCAGCTAAGAGAGAAGATGAGGACACGGTGGGGTGAAGAGATAAGGTAGAGAGAGAATGGAAATAAAGAGAGAAAGGAAAAGGAAAAAAAAAAAAAAAAGAAAAGGGCATTATGGGTATTTCACATATTCCAATAGTAAAGAGAAGCTGCTTTGGCAAATGGTCAAAAAAAAAAAAAATGGTTTCAGCTCCACGAATGAAGCTGCTCTACAGATAAAGCCATATTTCTGTTTTGTTTTGGTTGAAGCTGGAGCTCTACCGAACGGTAAAAAAAAATTGGTACGCAGAAGGGCCGTTGGCCTTATCTGACGCAAACATGAAGCAATTCATAGAGAATGCATTCTGGCTACAGAGTGGATGCTTGGAGTAGAGGGAAGGGAAAAAAAATCTGCAACACCTATAGCCTTTTAGCTCTAAAAAACAATGTCACGTCAAGTGAGGAATCCAACCTATATTTATGGGGTGGTGATTTCAATTCACTCTTGCACACCTGGAACGTTACTTTTTCTATGGGTCTAATGATTGCGTTCGGCTGGTAGATAGGAGCACTGTAGCTCAGCTGAATTTAGATGATTAAATAGTATTATATGAGAGAATAAGTTAAGCTGAAACAATCAAGACCGTACCAGCCGAACGCACTGTGCGTATGCTTGTGTTGGGGAAGCCCTGGTTGAGGCACCGTTTGGATGTCGAAATTTTTGGTGAAATGTTACTGTAGCATTTTCGTTGTTATTTAGCAAATGGTGTCCAATCATAGTCTAATTAGGCTTAAAAGATTCGTTTCGTGGATTTCGTCTAAACTGTGTAATTAGTTTTATTTTTTATTTATATTTAATGCTTTATGCATACGTCCAAAGATTCGATGTGACGGAGAATCTTGAAAAATTTGGTATTTTGGAGTGGAACTAAACAGGCCCTGACTGTGAAGCCCCCTTTTGCTTGTTTCCTTCATATGGTGTAAGAGCCTACCCATGCCGGCGTATTGGGCATGGCCTCAGAGTAATCAAAATGCAGCAGTAGAGTACTCCCTGTATCCCATAAAAAAATGTCACTCTCGCTTTTCGAAAAGTTAAATACATTTAACTTTAACCAAATATATATAAGAAAAATATTAATATTTATAACATATAATTAGTATCATTAGATAGATCGTTGGATATATTTCAATAATAAACTTATTTTGTATTTTGAGATACAAATGAACGTAGTTAAACTTAAGAAAGTTCGACCAAACGTGAGTCCCGACTCTTTTACGGGATATAGGGAGTAGTCCATAAAGACTAAAATATTCTCTACACGCTTGAACTATTATGGGAGTCATCTATACAATAGTCCATAGCAAAAAAAATACCATAAAAAATAAAGAAATACTATTTGTTCTCTCTCATCCCTCTTCCTCTCTCTTCCCTCTACCGCTTGCACGGTTGGCTTTTTAGATGCTTTTAATTTATCAGAGTGTCCTATATCACTAGTCTCTACATTGTGGCAAAGACAGGCAAATTTCAAGGAACCAAACAGACCCAAAATTTTTAAAACTCGAGACGGAATGTAAATGTTTTGGTATTGTCGTGCCAGGTGCCACGGTGGTGGCTGATCCAGCAACTTTCAATGCCCAAAAATGGACAGGGTGGGACTGCCGGACTGGGACGACTCAAATCACCCTCTGCCCCTCTCGCACGGTCGCACCTCGAAGTCGGGAACATCGCTGACCGCGCGTCGCGCACTCGCGCCACGCCTGCTGCTCGTGCGCACTCGCCGTTCGCCAATCCTACCCTGTCAAAGTGACAGCGAAGTTTGAGCGCCGCCGGAGGAAAACGAATTTCGAAAGGAGGAAGGCGGACCGTGCCGGGTACGCATCGTCCAGTTTTGCCGTCGCGGGCCCCGACGCGGTCTGCTTCTTCCCGTCTCTTTGTTCACCGCACCAAAGCCCCTGTCCCTGTCCCTCGGCTGATTTGCGCGCACCCGCACTCGCAGTCACAATCGCAGGGCCAGTCTCCTCAGTCCTCACCCTCTCCGCCTCCCCTGAGAGCCAGCCAGGAGTCCTAGTCCCGCGTCCAAACCCTCGGCCTCGACGAGCACCTTCGCGCGGTGGGGCCATGGACGCGGCGTCGATGCTGGAGGTGTACCGCCGCGACCGGCGCAGGCTCCTCGGCTTCCTCCTCTCCGCCGGCGGCGGGGCGGCCGCGCCTCGATCTCTCCCGCGTCGACCTCGACGCCGTCAGCGCCGACTACGCGCTCGAGTGCGTCGCCTCCGGTAAGGCAGGCAGAACCCCTTCCGTGCCCGCTCGCGAACCTTGGTCATGTGTGTTTGATCGGCGACGGCGAGTTTATTCGCCTGATGGTTCGAGTTCTGATCATTTCAGGCGCCCAATTTAATGCTTCGGAAGCCACGAGGAGGTACTTCGACGAGAGGAGGTACCCTATCATGGTATGAGGCGATCTCATCAATGAATTTCCTTGCCATTTCGGCTTGAGCTCATCGTTGCTTGTTGGATTGTTATGATTGATCCCGAAATAAGTCGTCTTCTTTGACGTCAAGTGTCTGTGAACGGTTGGTAGGATTGGGGCTATATATTGTTGGATTTTTGTAGTTTTATATAAAATTTTGAATTCTAAAATTTTGCAACTGATTAGCTGTCTTGTAGTTATGCAATTGAATTCAATATAATTACTGCAATAGGGAGTTGAGAATTCATTACAAAAAGGCTGCACGGCTCTTATGCTAATATGCCACCATGCATGAATTTCGTCAACTGTAAGCAGCATGCTTCTCCAGTATTTTCTTAATCAGAGTTGATAGTGCTTGATCTTTAAAACCATTGAGATTATTACAGATTTCAGTATTGCAATTTAATTAGGATATCTGTCAATTTTATGTATGGGAAACACTTCTAATGTGACTGCTTTAGTACAACTCAAGTACAACAATGCATCTAAACCATCCGATACATTTATGAGCCTTCCATCTAATGATCCAACCATTGGATACTTTCTTTCTCGACGGTTGTAATGAAATGGCTATGTAGTCGTATTCACCATTACCTACTTAATGCTTAAATCTCCTCAATTCTACTGTTTCGCAATTCCTTCCATTCTTTGGATTTTAAAAGCCTAGTGTTAAAGTGAAGATCACTGATTCGATTGAGTGTTCCATTCGTCCTCCATAGTTAAATGTGCATAATTTGGCATAACGAGTTTCATCTTCTGGTATCGACGAACAACCGAGTGCTCTATTGTTACATACATTTTCTGTGGAGTATTATAATAAGTGTAGAGGTTTATCTGAACATAATTAATTGTGTTCAGATTGGGTCGCCATCAGGGAACTCTTATTTTCTTCTTTCGAGGCCACGACCATCTGATTCCCCTCCAAAGGAAGCGGCACCTAGCATTGGGCCACAGGCACCTGTACAAGACAACTCAAGTTCAGCAGGACAACCAACTGAACCAAGAGATTTCTTCAGAGATGCTATTAATGCCTCAGGAATAGGATATGGCATGAATGACGATAATTTGGCAGATATTTCTCCTCAGCAAGTAAAGAAAGTGGATATTCTTTCTCTAGGTTTGCCTAGGCTGACCACAGGTAGAAAGTTGTACATGCTTCATTTGTTATTATTCTCTTATTCTTTGGATATTGATACCCGGAATCATAGATATAGGAATATATGATAACATATAGATTACTTGTTATGTTTTCTAGTTTCTACCCTGTTTTAAGAAGACGAATCGTGTGGGGATAACCTAATTTGTTTTCTAGAGCTAATTCTGTTCTTTCTTTTTTAACTCAAGAACTGTCTGATGATGATATAAGAGAAACAGCTTATGAGGTCCTTCTTGCTTCTCTATTTGTCAGGTAATTTTCTACAAAATGTGTCTACCTGGTTGTTTGCGTTAACTGCATGGTGTGTCTTCATATTTGAAGTATACATTTACAATTCTAACTCATCTTCCTTAACAATACAATTCCAACAGCGGAAAAGTACACTTCTCTGAAGAAAAAGAGAAAAGAAGCACAAGTTCTTGAAGGGTCAAGAACTAAGACTGAAGGATCAAATCCATCACCTCAGGTGGAAGATGGCTATGCCCACATTCTTGATTTGATCCGAGTACAAATGGAGGCAAGGTCTTGTTCACAAATTGGTCATTTTTCATGTTAGTTTAAGAAACAAATTCGGGTATTCACTGTCTGTTTGTCTAATATAGATGGCAATGATGCCTAGCTTGCCAATATTCTTCAATGTTCACATGAATGCCAGATATTAACGATTTTTGGTTCCCTCATTTCATTTTATTGCTGAGTACAAGAGTCTGTTATGATCTTAGGAAGCAAAGTTCTTAGCTAATATATCAGAGGAACCTTTCTAGTTTCTACTCTCTCTTTCATCAGTCCCTTTAAAAAATTTTAAAATAACTTTTTCTATGCTGTCCTCAAGACTCTAGAGATTAGAAGTTTTTTTGCCTCCTTTTTATTCAACAGTCATTTTGAATTTACTTCTTGAGCAATATCTTCTCTACTAGGCTAGGAAATATTCTAGAGAGGACTCATTAGGCAAAATTCTTCCAGATTTCAGAATCTATGGACGCACTGACTAAACGAGCTTTAAGACATATTAGTTTGAAGACAGCGAAAGAAACACTTGATGTGCCGCGTATATCACTACAGCTCTTAAGTTCTGTTGGCAAACTTGATTTTCCAACCGAAAGATTGCGTGGACAATGGCAGAAAAGACAGGCAAGCTCTTATAATCGTTTCTATCTGCAGTATGCCAGTATGGGCGTCTGTCTTACTATTGTCTCTGATTCTGCTATCCAGGCGAATGTTCTTGAAGAATTACTTCTCTTCTCAGCATCTCTTGAGTATGATATGAGCAAGACATTAAGGATAGTTCTCTCTAAGCTAAAAAGTACAGAGGCAAGTACTAGCAATGATACTAGTATCTATCTCAAGAATAAACAACTGTTTCATCTTTCTCTTCGCAACGGACTGATTCACAGTATTGATTTCATTGTATATATGCATCGTTAACTATTCCAGGACTGGGTTGTAAGTGTTCCTGAGGGCCGTGTCGAGGTCTTGACTATCATCGAAAGATACAACGCAAAACTTTGTGCGCTGACAAAGAAGTTTGACATTAAAGATGAGACCTACCATTGGACCCATAACTATCATTTTAATTTTAGGCTATATGAGAAGTTACTTTGCAGTGTGTTTGATATTCTTGAAGATGGGCAACTTGTAGAGGTTTGTTTTTTCTTTACTCACTATATATCATTATATCCTCTCTGGTCTGCTTAAAAAAGATCACACCCTGCTACCACATAGCTGATTTGTTCGTGGACAGCAGTGTTCCATCCTGAGTTCCTGAATGTGCTATCTAATTTTACTACCAGGAGGCTGATGAGATACTGGAAACAGCAAAGCTGACCTGGCCTATATTGGGCATTACTGAGAAGTTGCACCACATCTTCTATGCTTGGGTGCTTTTCAAGAAGGTCTATTTACTGCTATAGTTTGCCCTTTCTCCTTTTCGGATAGCATCCGTTGCCCCTTATTGATAGCATGAACTAGCGAATTATGAATTTGTGGCTCATCCATCATGTCTCTGCATTTCCTTTGTTGCAAGAGCACCTAGTATGTTTATAGGCAATAGGAGCTAACTTGTTGACATTTAGAATGGATGGACATTGTAATACAACGATGCTTTCTATTGAATAGAAGGAACTGCTCTGGTGAATCAATTGTCTTGTGAACCATAATAAATTGATTTGCCTTTACTCTGCTTAGAGGCAGGGAAAACTTCTTTTGTCCATTAATTGAAGCAACCTTATTGATACCTGACCGCTTTTATTAGTGTTACCTTGTTTGTACCCATGGCATACTCATATAATTGTTTTCCTTCCATTCAGTTTTCTCAAACTGGGAGATTCTTCTACTGAAACATGCAAGCCTTCAGATACAGAAACTTCAAGTGCACCACGATGTTAAAGAAATAGAGTTATATACAAACAGCTTCATTTGTTCTGTGGATGCCTGTGGTGGCAACAGGGTTCTAAGTTTGGTTGACAGTGCCCTACTCAAAATAAATGTTTGGTGCCGCAGACAGCTAGACAATTATCATGCATACTTTAGTAAGGTTAGTTGACGTCCCTTGTTTGCAACTGTATGTTTTTCAGCAGACGGATTCTTCCGGTACATCATTGACTAATTTCTGGATGTGCCCTCCTGTTTTAGCATGCTAATTAAGGAAATTTGTTAACAAATTTTATCTCTGTTATGTGATCTGATTACATCGAAAACGTGCGCCTAGCGCAGTGGTAGGGAAGCAGAAGTGCAACCTACAGGTCGGGAGTTCAAATCCCTGTTCTCACAAAAAAGACCACTCCTTGTGCTATTTTCAGTGAAATATGTGGTCCATTAACGGTTGTAGCATGATACGTGGCTGCAGGCGCGTTCTCGCCGTTAGTGGCACATCCTGAGTAGCTGGGGTTCATAGCCTTTTCTCGACCCTGCAGAAGAGAATCTTCTACCTTTTTGTCAATGCCTCTGGGGAGGTCTTACCCCTAGGGGTCGAGATTTTTTTCCTTTTGATCTGATTACATTATTCCTTATCGTTACGGTTGCCCATTACCTAATTAGCTTATCTAATGGCTTAAACTTTTAATTTTTCTGTCACATAATTTGACAAAATATTCACCCGTACTCTTTCTGTAAGTTCATTGTGGACGAAGAATGTAAGCACAAATAAAATTCCATGGATAATAGACAGTCACCTAATTTCTTATTACCATGGAAGCATAAGTTCAGAACTCAGAAGCCTGTTGCTGATGTAGGTAGGCCATCCTTTATTGTTTGCATGATGACCATATGTTGTATGAGGTTTGTCCATGCAAGTGATGAATTAACCAAAAGTAAAAGTATGGTAATGCGACCTGCATGATCTGAATATAATTAGTGTCATAGTGTGACAGTCTTGATAGGTAAGAAACTGTAAGAACGAAAATTTATGTCAATTTAGAAAGAAGGGCTTGGTGTTTCTTCTTAATTAATTCCATTGATGGTACTTAACCTATGTAAATCAGTATTGTATGATGTCTTGTTATATTTCATAGAAGGCCACAGTACTACCATAATTTTTTTTTTCTTGACTTGACTTCCTGCAACAGAATAACTACTCGATCTTTGAGGCCACACTGAACTTGGTCTTGCTGTTGGTGACAAACTCCACTGAGGATGATTTTGAAGAAATAAGGGTTAGATTTCTAATGCTTTTGCTCTGGTACTAGTATGTCTGAAGTGAACACTAGAATTTTGGGGCTAACTCCTCTCCATTAGGCTTCAACCCTTTTACCATTAAGATGACACTATGCTTAGAGGAAACATCATTATGGTTATAAAACATTCTATTTGATCAGAAATGATTGTGTTTCATCAAAATCAAGTAGCCAGAAAGACCTTGAGTGTAAACTATATTGAAGCTCCATGTTGCCCTAAGCTAGGAACTTTTCAGAAACTAAAATTCTCTAGGACAGCTCTAGTTTTGTTCTTTAGTTTGCGACTTTGCATTGGAATTTGGAATTCTTTACTGTAATGTATCAATACTAGATCTTCCCTTAAATATTTTATTCAACGAGTATGGATATAATATCACACAATTTCTTCTGATTTTGTACTAATAATTATTTGCAGAACATGAGAAGTTAGAAAATAATAAAAACTTCACTTGGATCAGAATGTCATGTGTAGTGTTTTTTGACATATTCCATAATCTAAATTGTTGTTTCTCATTGTAAGTATCATTGTTTTTTACCATTGTTAGTATTTGATACACACATCTTCCTTTTTGTCCCTCAATCCTTCTATCATATTCTTGGTATCAGTTTATTCTTCCTTTGTGTTTGATACTGACCTCTTATTCGCCCATTCGATGATGTATTACGGTTCATTGAATACTGATGTTTCAAGAGTTTTTTTTTCCTTTGAAGCGCTTTGATCTGTTTTGGGTCATTTTCAGTTCATTGAGAGCCCAGTAGGGAGTACACCAGAGTCGAAGTTGATCCATTTACTCATTGTCAGATCCATCCATGCTGCATATAAGCAAGTGAGCTAACAATCAATGGGTCTAACTTTAAAAGTTCGATTTGATAACTAATAATAAACAGCGTAACGTCTTCTTGATACTTTATTATGCTCCATTAGGCCCTAATTTCATCAGATGGCCGCTCAGATTCTGAATTTAAGCATCCGCTGACAATTCTTGCAAATGAGCTAAAGGCAGTGGCAGAGAAAGAGTGCACTGACTTCAGTCCAATACTTCACAAGTACTATCCTGAAGCTCAAAGAGTAGCTCTAATTTTCTTACACATGCTGTATGGAAAACAATTGGTTAGTTCAACTCCTTGTACAGCTATGGTATCTTTACTAGGGGATCTTGCATTTACATTTAGTGTTGCTATTTGCTACTAGGAACTTTTCTTCGAAAGGACAGATCATTTGGAAAACTCAAAAGAGATACTGGCAGCATCGAATAATTTTGAGCTCTTTATAGCTCAGAAACTTTACACAGTGTACGGGCAAGCTGTTGGGTCTTCATTCTCCAACTATTTAAAGCCATACATGGTAAGGCATCACAATGTTCTTAATATTCATGATAAGTACTTCAATGTTTGGAAATGTCCTTTATGCGCAGCTCTCCTGCGCATTCGAGAAAAAAAAGAAATGTCCTTTATCTATTAAATTGACTCATGCAGTGCTTCCTTTGTCTTGGTTTTGTTTATTTATCAATGGTAAAATAATCTTTTCCTATTAGCTCGAGAAAAAAATACTGTCCTTTTCACCTTCATCATGGTTTCCTATGGAATGAGACATCTTATATTGTCTGTTCGATGATTTGATATTGCACTAAGTACTCCCTCCATTCCAAATTGTAAGTCGTTCTGGCTTTTCTACATACGTATTTTTTGTTATGTATTTAGACATAATGTATATCTAAGTGCCTAGCAAAAACTATGTACCTAGAAAAGCCAGAACGACTTACAATTTGGAATGGAGGGAGTACGATATAACCTTTGGTACATAAGTTACTCGGAATTCTAGAATCGAGTGGTTTGGCACTTTGACTACCAGCAAACTATTAGTTGATCCTTTTTATTGCTTTTTTTAGTGACACCATTTTCTGCTGTTAAGCTGTCGTGTGTCCTGATTGATGTCCTTGTCTTAGATGGTTTGATGTTTCTGCAATATATCACCTTTCTGGGATAGTTCCTTGCCACTTTACTTGCAATTTTGCTTCGTGGTTTTCTTTTGGGTTGCCATTTGTGTCTAAATACTGGATGCTTTTAGTTGCCCAAAGACCTTGCCATTTGAAAATTTTCTTAACATCTCATCAGTTTCTGTTCATTACTAGGACAAATCTCCATGAATAACATCAAGCATTTTTTAGATAATATGCCCTTGCTCCTTTTTTGGGGGTCTTTATAACAAGGCCTGTTGGAATATCTTTATGTCACTTGGCATTTCCAGAACATGTTTACATCTAAATAAATGACACCTGAATCCAACAGGTAGGTCGCTTTTCTTCACCCCTTATTCTCCAATGGCTGCATGCTCAACACGAGAATGTCTTGGAGTGGACAAAACGTACTATTGAGATAGAGGTTTGTTATTCCGCAGAAGTTCACTGCTACTTTACTTCTTTATTAGTTAATGATCTGTAAAAGGTTGAGTAGTAGTAGCATGCTATTGAACAGGGAGTACTTAACAATGTTGTCATTTCTCATCCACTTTTCATTAGATTTGGTGTCTCCTTGGTCTATGTGCATAACCATTGTGGATTTATGTTGTGAAATGGAGCGAATAGTTAATTGTGCATATGTTTTTTGCATTTAGTGATATTCATATGTGATGTCCCTGCACACGTGTTTGTAGAGAAGATATGGGAGCTCTCTGCCTTTTTGTGTATAAAAATGGCACTGTTGTAATCTGTATCAGGTACTATCATTTGCTAAAACCAGTCACATACTCACCACAATGTTCGTGTGGTATATTGAGGAATCATATAATACAGTTTAGGGTGTGAAATTTATAATTGCAGTCAGGTCGGAATCTAAGTTGCATGTGTGTGGTAGCATAACAACTACCAGCCTGCCACAACGATGTTTTATGTGACCTACTGTTACTTGCCAACCGGACCATGGTGTGAGACATAATCTGCTGCTGACCTCTCTCTCTTGATTTGCTGCACAGCAGATTTGGCAATCAGTCAATCTCTGCTGTCCTAGTTGCTGTAGCAGTATGGCAATAGGCCACCTCTAGTACATTAGTTGGTAGCTAATACATCAGCCATGTCTTGGTAGTGGGCTGATCTAAGCTTTGTACTGCTAGTACTAGGAGAAGTTGGGGCTGTACTCAGCCATACTCATGTGTACCTTATAGTTGGTACATGAGTTGTATATATACTACATCCAATGCAATGAAAAAGTTAGTTCAGTTGCCACAAACCAGAAGCAGAGCTTCGGCCAGGGCTGGTGCTTGTGCTGTGTGTGTGTTCCTGAGCTCAACCCCTTCTTCTACCTCTAGCCAAGTGAGTGAGTGTGCTGGTAAGCTTGTTGCTTACCTGTGCAGGGCAGCAAGTGACCAACACATGGAACACCAGTTAGCTGGTAACTTTAATGTGTGTGAGAGCGCATTTTGTGAATAGTGCAGGCGTGCAGTTGATGAGAGATTACATTATTCAATTCCAGAAAATCCACAATCAAACCACCTACTTAAGCTTCACGAGTGCCATATCATCTGACTAGGAAACAGTTAGCAACTGGTACCTGATTACCTGTACTTTGTCACTTTTGACTTCACTATGTTGGATGTGCCTAGCTAACTTTAGAAACTTTTAATGACATCGCTGGCTCTCCTAAGTCCTAACTGTCCAATTGTCCGGTGCAATTGATTATAAGCTCTCTTTTCTTGATCATCTGTGGGTATAGGATTGGACACCTTTATCATCTCACGAGAAACAAGCAAGATCTGTGGTTGAAGTATTCCGGATCGTGGAGGAGGTCAGTTTTTTAATTGACTCAGAAGTTTCTGCACAATATGCTCCTTACTCTCAAGAGATAAACGGAAACCATTTTTTAGCATTAATATGGTTCAAACTTCACCATAATCATTTTGCATTTTTATTACTTGTAGTCCTATTTGATCCTAAGTGCAAGCTGAATATCTGAGCTTCCATCTTGAAGGCAGAAGTTTTCTGTTAATATTGATTACCTTTTGAACCAGTCTTTGTTGAATCATTGTTCATTAGGGTGCTTAATATTCCCTCTAATTCCAAATGTAAGTCATTTCGGGACATTGACACCATCTATAAAAAGGGCGTACCCAGTGCAGAGAGCTCCCGCTCTGTGCGGGGTCTGGGGAAGGGTGTCAGTGGACATTGACACCATCTATGAGATTAAATTTTGATTAGAATTTTTTATAAAAGTGTAATAATTCACATAGAGATAATTACATATTATGAAATTACTTTTTATGATCAATCTATAAGCATCAACCTTATGCTGTAAATCTAGTTAGATTTTTAGCTATTGGTGGTCAAAGCTAAAAATGTTTTACTTAGGACAAACCTAAAACGACCTACATTTAGAACCAGGGGGGAGTATATGCATATTTTAACTATCACTCTGATCTTTCTTTGGGTTCTTATATTTCACCATTTTATGTGCAGACTGTTGATCAGTTCTTTAATGCGAGCCTGCCCCTGGAAATCGTCCACTTGCGAAGTCTACTCATCGGAATCACTAGCAGTCTTGAAGTCTATTTGCTTCACATGGAAAATCAACAAGGTATGTGTCAGGTTTTGGATAGATATTGATGTACTATCTTGGGTAATTGTTTTTGTTACACAGTCTGTTAAGCTACTCTGAATTGTATACTTGCATACATATATATACACATACAAAAGGGGCAGTTGCATACCTGCCAGGCATGGTGCCTTTTCTATCTACTGTAGCTAGATCATCTACCAACTATTCAACTACTCCTATGCTGTCTACTGTTGCTGACCATCTTGCCTATCAATCAAAAGAACAAGGAGCTGACCTATATATGTCAGTAGCAACTACTAATGCTCTTGATGGTGATGAACACCGGGATTACTTATCTATCAACATGTATTAACTATTGCTATTGCAAACTCTTCTGTAAATACTTACTGTTAGACAGCTGTATATGGCTGATCTGGGCCTGGGCCTTGCGGCCAGCCCTTGTAGCTGCCCTGCGTTGGATTCCTTGTCCAGCAAGGGTGTAGATTGAGTTGTATATGGTAGAGATACCGGAGGGTCGGTTCTGTTTCCATAAGCCGCCCTTATCTCTACCTATATATATGTACATGTATCATGTAACCCAATAATCAATCTACAATCTTACGCTGCATAACTTCTCTCACTTACGTTCTGCTCTTTTGCTCCTCAGTTTTCTTCAGAACATCTCGTTATGCAAATATTTCCCTTTTTTCTTGACTAATAACACGTCTGTTTTACAGCTTGCAAATATTTTGGTGCTTCATGCACTCTCATTTTCATGTTGAAAATTGATAGTAGTGAACCTGGACCTTAAAGTTAGCATCATTCCTTGATAGGTTATCCATTATCGAGATCAGAAACATCAACATAGGCATTGATGGTTCTGTTTCTACAATGCTAAATTTGCATATTTCAAATGCTTTGTTGGTTGCTGCATTTTTTTGGGCCGCCAGAATAAGTGGGATGCCAACCGTGACTAGGGGCTCTTGGTGGGTTTCAACTCTAGCCTACCCCAACTTGCTTGGGACTGATAGGCTTTGTTGTTGTTGTTGTTGTTGTTGTTGTTGCCAGAATAAGTGGGATGCCCTTTTGCATACCTTTTAAGTAGCATAGGCCTTTTAGTATACTTTTCCCATGGGGTAATCTTATTCAGTTATTCTTATCTTACAAATAATGCCTTTTCAGAAGAACCAGGAAATAACTGTATTTATGTTGTTTTCCTGTTGCAGTGTCTGGATCTACCCTTCTTCCTAGTGCTCCAGTCTTGACACGTTATGCAGAATCAATGAATCCATTTGCAAAGAGGAAACTTATTGAGCCTATGGTTCCTGAAGAAAAGGTGGCTATGAAGTTGAACAATTTGACAGTGCCCAAATTATGTGTGAAACTCAACACTCTTCAAGTGAGTTTTCGATTGATTGCCTTTCTCCATTCATTTTCACATGAGTTTAATTGTCTAGGCCTTTTTCGGATACTCTGCACTTCTGTGGTCTGCTTATTGTAGATGCTTTGATGCTAATGTAATTAAGGTTGTGTAACAAGTCCATAATCAGTTTGCCAATATATTCATGGTCCATGGATGAATATATTATTTTAGTAGATTTTGAATCACCAACACATGCTAAGATTTTTTTTTCTCGAATACGCAGGAGAGCTGTGTATCATTGCATTAAGAAGAAGAGTTGTAAAATACAACACGCACACAGCCAAAGGGCGCCTAGCTCAAACGGTTAGGTGATCCAGCGGCACTCCTCAGGTCCTAGGTTCGACTCCCCGTGGGAGCGAATTTCAGGCTGAGGTTAAAAAAATCCCCTCGTCCGTCCCCATAACCAAAGCACTGGGGGGGCACCCGCCCAATTCTCACTTGGGCGACGGAAAGCCACCGTGTAAGGGTGGGGGCGGGGGTTCGGGGATTTTCTCGGCCGGGTGAGAAGGTCCTTCTTCTTATTTGTAATGCTGCGGGGGCAGTCTTAACCCCCCCGGTCGAGTTTTTTTTTTTACAACACGCACACCACCCACACACCCCTTAACTTTTAGTTACATTCGCGCCTGTCAAAATAAAACACGACCAACTACTAACAATGGTGACGGGCCTAACCGTTTGCTACAGGGAGCCGTGCAAGCTCCCTTGCTCCAGCTAAACACCACAGATGCGCTTCCTCTTCGAACACATGCTAAGAGTTCAGGACAGTGGTCCTGGAAAACCTTTCGTAGAAATCAGTTGTGTTGCTATTTAGTCAATGCCGTTATATCTATATTAGTAGCTGGCACTTCATAGGGAGGGCCATCTTGCTCCATCGAATTCCTTTTATATCTGACACATACATGATTGTAGGTTTTATTTTAGAGTAAACTATTCCCACCATACAACAACTTGGCTGTGGTGCTTCTACCTTGTAATTCCTGTCTCGACCTGACCCAGTGACCCTTCTTTTTCCTAAATGCTGCAGTTCATCAGGGATCAACTTGATGCCATAGAAGAAGGTATCAAACAATCCTGGGTCTCTGTCTTGTCAGGTATTCTCCTGAGTACATTGATTACTCCTTTGCCTTCCTGTGATGTTATGTTGAACATTTTTTGCAACTCCCTCTGTTCCAAATTATAGTTCGTTTTGGCTTTGTCCCAAGTCAAACTTATTTAACTTTGACAAAGCGTATAGAAAAATACACTTACATCCCAAACATCAAATTAGTTACATTGAATTCTTGATGAAATACGTTTTGATAGTGTATTTATGAACTTTTGTGAATAGTTTTTTTTTCTGAAAACTTGTTCAAAGTAAGATAAGTTTAGGACAAAGGGAGTATTATAGAAAGTTTGTTATTATATTGGCTCACTTGCTGGAACAAGCGTTATTGATATTGATGATCCCCTTTGACCTTCTTTTGACCCGGTATACCTCATTCTTGTCAAGCTGGTTCTTATGCTGTGACTTTATTCACACTCGACTTGAACTTGGTAAGCCTGTTCCAATTACAAACAGCAAAAGGTGACGTTCTCAAAGTTTTTTCTTTTAGAACGTGGCTGAGCATGTGTTTCATTAAGAAAAGAAGTTTACAGTGACCAGATCCCCGGGCCCGGCTAACCGTCCCAGGGCAACTAGGCTTAGAAGGCTACTCCCTCCATTCCAGTTTACCAGGCGTACAAAGCCATATACCAGATACCAAGAAGGTTATGGAGATACGCGCGTGTATTAACTGACGTGCTTTGCTGCGCTGCGATTAGCATAGCGCCGCCGGCCGCTAAATCATTTTTTATTCACAAAGAGCACGGACGTGAGGAGCAGAGTACTACTAGCTAGTGCAGCGACGGTTCAGCTGCATGCATGCAGCATGCGTCCGGAGTAATGACTACGCTTGGTACTGCTGCCCGCCTGCTGTTGTGGCTGATTTTAAAAAACGCTTGTACGCCTGGTAAACCGGAATGGAGGGAGTATTACATAACACGATACAAAAATGACCAAAGACCTACGACACACATGAAAGACTGTTCATGTCATGAAGCATGACCTACGACCAAACCCTCACAAAACAATCTAAACCTACAACCTAGACCTCCAAACATCCCGACAACAGCATGCCCTGGGGGCAGATCCTTCAAACCATCTAGGTTGGAGTTGATGGTGCATCCATGAAACTTGGCAGTCATACAAGTACTATAGCGACATCCAGTCAACTTCAAGCACTTATTGACATCTTGTACAGCCGAACCAACGCTCATGACCGAAAGACAAAGCGACCTGTTGCTCTTGCCTGGAGTTGTGTTTGTCCTTTTTTTCTTGAGGGAAAGTTGTGTTTGTCCTTAATTCAGGCTCTAACCACCACGACCGGCGACGGTGGCAAAGGGGTAAGAAGCCCCCAAGATGGTCCGGGTGGTATCTTGCCCATGCCGTCGAATGTCGAGAGCAATACAACGAATGACCACCTTGGGTGATGGCGACCAGAGGCAACAGCCGTGGCAGGGCATGTCGCTGCCACCCCATGCAACCCAAAGAAACCCAACTGGAAGTCTAGCAATGAGGAGGTAGAACTGTCCCCGCACAGCAGCCCCAATCTCAACTGACCACCATTGGCCTTTTTGGGCGACGCTATGGAGTTGAGGGCGCTGGAGACGACTGTGGATGTAGAGGTTACTGCACGTTGCAGAGTGCAGTGATCAATGGGAACCTCCTTAGCAGGGCATGGAGCTACGTCACCCATGGCCACATCCAAGAAGGCAATCAAATCCTGGTGGACTTCGACTTCGGCGACCGAAAGCGACTTGCTTTCTTGTGCGGCATTGAGGCGGAAGATGACCTCCATGGCAATCTCTAGCTGAATCTTAGAATGGCCCGTTGCTGTTGACCTTACCGGTGCAGGGGAGAGGTCACCACTGCAGGATGAATGCGCGAACGGCTAGTATCCGTGAATCCGTGACCATGGTGGAGAGGGAGGCTACCGCCCTGGCAACCTCGACCACGGTAGGTGGCGGAGCTGGCAAGTAAGGACGTGTGACCAGCGGCGACTAGGATGGGGGCTCTGTGCTCGAGTACCAATGAGAGTGGTGGAGAAGGGATCGTCCCCAGATATGGATCTGCATGGGGCCCCAATGATCCCGTCATCCACGATGGCGGTAGTTGGAGGAGAGGTCGCAACTGTGGGCAGAGAAGGGCCCTCCGAGGGCGGGGAGCTGGACCGCGCCGGAGTAGGCGGTTGGGGGACGACTGGCTGAGAGAAGCAAGAGGAGATGTTGGAGAGAGGTGGAGAGGGCGCCGAGGCACAGGTTGTAGGGCAGCAGCGGGAAACCCTAGGTGTGTCGGCCCCGCGTCGCCCGTATTACTAAGTCTGCATCCTTCAATGGAAATTGTATGCCGTTCTCAAAGTTTCTCTGATAAATATCTGAGATGAATTGCTTGGATCTGTATGTGTCAGCGACTCAAATGGAGTGGGTTGCTTTGGTACGGTTTGGTGGTTTCATTTTTGGACTTTTGGTTGTGTGATTTGCCAAATGCCACATCCATTTGGGGATTCCTTTTTTTATGCCAGTGTCGACACATTTGTTTTTTTTTGCAATCATATAGTTGGTGGGGAATCAAGTATTATATTAATGAACAAAATTGGCGCAAGTGTGTGATTGGTTAAACAACTGCATTTGAGAACTTCATATAGGCTCATCTCTTTTGAGAAACTTTGAGGCCAGTTTATGCCTTTGTAACAGAGTGTGCACAAAAGTTGTGAGTTGATTTTGCATGTGAAGTTTGGCAAGCTTAATGCTGTAGATGGTAATGCACAAATGACAATTCTCTTTGTTCCTGTACTTCTGCAGCTGTCAGATTGTTGGATTATTTGTCTTCTATGGCTAGTGGAAGAGCTCTTTCAGAAAATTTGACATCATCTGATGAATCGGTTGATGAGTTGTTTACAATATTTGATGATGTGCGAATGACTGCTGTGAACACAACTGATACGATCTTGAACTTCATTGGTGAGCTATTAAGCTTCTAATTAGTTTCTGATTCACAATCTGCACTTTTATTTGCCCTTTGCAATCAGGGCAATAGTTTTTAGACTTAGATTTCCTTGTACTGGTATACCATTAGAAAATTGTTTTGTTTATGTTTGGCTCTACAGGGTCTGCTAGAGTTTACTGCTAGATTTATCATCCATTTGCAGTAAATGAATAGGTAATGTGGTTGCGGTGTGCCTTATGCATGAATACATCACAGCTTAATAAAAGATTATCTACAGTGCAAAATCTGTATATTACATGCTCTTGTAACTATCAGCTGACCTGCATTTTCTTGAACTGATATAGTGAGATTAACCTCTGTTTAGAGAAGGTCCATTTTAGATAGATGGTGTAAACAACTACCAAATAATTTTCATGTCAAATGTATAAGGAAAAATAACAACTATCAAATATTTTTCATGTTCGAGAAAAAAAAAAAACTATTATATTTCTGTTCCTATGTTTCCTGACTACATGAGTGATGAGCTTAAAGTACAACCTTGCAGGAACAAGGGCTGTATTTTGGGATATGCATGACTCATTTATTTTCTCCTTGTACCGAGACAGCGTCAAAGGAGCACGCATGCAGATATTTATCCCTACAATTGATCAAGTAGGAAACCGCACTTGAGATACCTAGTTGCCTGCACTTTGTTCAGTTTAGGTACTCTCTTAGCTTTATTAACTGTTGAACTGGATATATGCTGCAGGTTCTTGATCAGGTATGTGATTTAATTGTTGATGTGTTAAGAGACCAAGTTGTGCTCAGAATATTTCAAGCTTGCATGGTATAAATATCTCGCTGTCTATCCTGTTTATCAATCTATTCTTAGATTGCTTATATGTCTAAAGTAAAAGGCTGCCTAATGTCTAATCTCAATTAGGATGGACTCATTTGGGTCCTACTGGATGGAGGCCCATCCGTGCATTTTTGAGACAGATGTGGACTTGATGCAACAAGATCTTGCTATTCTCAAGGTATGAAGAAGGCTAAAGGAATGCATTATACTTACCATAAGTGAAAATGAAGCAATCTCACGATACATACAGCTTATTGGTTCAATAAGTTGGCATCTTGCTGAAATTATCACATGATTTACTTGTCCTGTCATTAAAATTTTCTTCTAGGATCTCTTTATAGCAGAGGGTCAAGGTTTACCAATGGATATAGTTGAAAAGGAGGCTAGACAAACTCAGCAGATATTGGACCTATATATGCTGAAGGTCTGGTATTCTTTTTACTATAGTTTTACTGAAGAAAACTTCTGCAGTAACCAACTTGATTAGATCCCCACCTACTGGTTTCCAGGCTGACACAATTATTGATATGCTGATAAATGCAAGTGACCAAACACCTCACAATCCTGAACCTACAAATGCTCGAAGAAGACATGTACATGATGCCAATACACTTCTTCGAGTTTTGTGTCATAAGAAGGATAAAATTGCCTCTACATTCTTGAGAATTCAGTACCATCTTCCAAGGTCTTCAGGTGAGACAAAGAACATGATTTGTTATGGCTTTAACTTGAATGTTTTACATAGTACAAAAGTTGTTACTCTGTTATTCATTCAATTGATATGAAAGCACTTTAACAATGATACAGTACTAAGTTTATATGTTTATATGGAATAAATATGCAAAAAGTTGTTTTTGCAGTTTACCTCTGGTATGATGTGTTCTGCATAATTAAAATTCTCAGTTTGGTTCATAAAATGTCAAACATTCCTTTATTTTGCAGATTATGATGATGTTCCTGTGAAGGATGTGTCATCTAGTACCTATCTTTTCAGACATGCTGAAAAGAGGTACCTCATTCAATTGGTCTGAGACAGGGCAACAAAGCTTTAGAATTATGAAGAAGAAACTGCAAGAAGCTACTTGGCAGTAAGGATGGGTCTTGCTAAGGAAACGCTGCTTGGTTTGTAGTTTTTCCTTTACATACAACAGCAGGTAGAAATCAAAATCCCATAGCACCTGCACGCGCAATAAGCACTGTATTTGGATTTACTTTACATCATTCACCTGGCAATTGAATGAACCCCTCCTTTTTTTGAGTGAGCTGTACTCAGTCAGCAGGGGGAAGACCACCCCATGGCATTGTTTGGAAGAACAAACCTCAGACCCCGCCCCCCAACCCTGACAGTGCAGACCCTATAGCGCTGCACCCTAACCCTGACAACCACCTGGTTAGGCTCCCTGGCACTTTGACAACCACCAGGTAGGCACCATAACCACGGATAGGCCGGCGCTTTGCCACTATTTTGTGGGTTGTCAGTGAGGGAGGTATTTTAAATCAGCCCTGAAATTTGCTCCCACAGGAAGTCAAACCCAGTCGTTGGAGGGGCTACTCAGGAGTCACAATCACTAGGCTATGAATCCTTTCACCAGTGAGCTGTACTATCAAAGGAATTCTGCACGTTCAAGATAAGGCATAGTTTTAAAATATATTCATTAACTGCAAGAGGAAGTAAGACCACTCATTCCTTATTTTGCTTTTTTTTTGAAATACCAGTTGTTACTTTCAATGTTATTGATGACTCTTGTAAAATTTTGAAGGCTGCATATTGTTCAGTATAATTTTCCAAAGGGCCACAATGGTGCTCATTCTAACGGTGGTCCTGGTAGAATTCATGAAGTATGCCTGCAAAGCTTCATATGGAGGTAGTGTGCTACAAAATCACATCCCTTCGCATGATCGCTATCCAAGCATTACATGCCCCTTAACTTGGCAACATTTGACATACCAACAGATGTGTAGTTAGCACACACACACACACAAAAAAAAAACTTCAGTTGGTAACTTGAAGTGTTTGCAGCAATGGAGTTGCACCAGAAACTGCCATCGTACTCATAAGAGCTAAAGTTTTGTTTTTGGCAAAAAAAAAGGAGCATCATAATTCACAAAGGTCACCCACTCCCACAAAGACTACCAAATTTCCATGAGGTTTGCCAAAGCAAAAGGGTAATAACAATCATGTGCCGTTTCTATTTTGCAGGGTTTTAGTTTCGAAAATACCCTTGCCGTTCCGGTGCAAGTACCGAACAGGAGGCTTTATTTTACCAGGTCCTTGCCCCCAGCTTGATCAGATTCTCTCTGATGTACAGGTTTGCAGTTCTAGAGGTTTTGGTACAATGGTGCTAGTGTGCTACATATTTGGAAATCCCATAGACTTCGCTATTCGAAAATCCGGAAGTAGCATGACTGTTTATTAAGTTACTTTTCTCCCAAAACAACTAGAAGCCGAGCAGTATCGACTCGTGGAACTGTTGCTACAGTACCAAAAAGTGGAGAAGCTGAAGCCAACACAAGCTGTGCCAAAGAGGTCTGAAATATTTGCAGGAGCTCACTGACTATGCACAATCCGTTGCAGTTAAATGTTTAGGTTGGCAATGTAGGTGGATACTGATTGTGGTTTACTTAGCTTTATCGGCTCGTGGAAGCTTTTTTTTTAAAAACTGGCTCGTGGAAGCTGTTGGTACAGTACCGAAAACTGAAAAACTGTTGCACAGAGGCCCTAAATATTTACAGAAGCGTGGGAGCTCATTGTCTATGGGCAATCCGTTACAGTAAATGTTTAGATTGGCAATGTAGTACTGCCGGATACTCATTGTGGTTTACTGAAACACAGGAAGCGGCAAAATATTTGTTGAACTTGGCAGCCTCGGTAGATGAACAGTCTTATAACTTCTGATCTTTTAATGCATGCTTTTGTGAGTCCTTGGTTGCCGAAATTACAATTTCTTGCAATCTTGCTCTTACTAGACTTTGCCTCGAACACAACACTTTTCTTCTCTTCTTCCTCATCACTCGTTCTTCATGATCAAAGGTGTCATGAGTGATGATTTCTCCAAACACTTGTGTGGGAGTGAGATCCTTCAAACCTCCTCTTAAGATTATGGTGACAATGATCTCGAACTTCTTGGGAGGACATCTCAAGAACTTGTGGGAGAAATCTTCATCAATCTTGTGTTCTAGGCCCCTCAGTTCATTCACAATGATAGAACATCTCCAACACACTCGTTCTCAAACATCTTAGAAATTTACATACTAGTGTTTGAGCCTGGGCATTCGGTAATACCGAACCGGTTCCCGTAGAAATTCGGTTTCCTTAGAAAATAGGTACCGATCGGTTCTTTCTAAAAATCGGTACCGAGGAAATTCGGTTTCGGTACTTTCGGTTCGGTTTCGGTATTTACCGAATAGTACCGAATTGATCACATAGACATGTAATAGCAGATTCAAAAGCTAATTTTGACATGATTTCTTAGAGCATAATAGTGCAAAATAAATATACATATAAAAGTCCACAAGACTATAAGAGTGAGTACCACAAATACATAATATAATAGTCTACAATAGTACAATCAATAATATAACAACACTCAAACTCCACATTTAAGGTAATTCGGTAAATTCGGTTTTCCGAGGTAAAGAACCGAATTTACCTTGGTAATTTCGGTTTCTGGGAATTAGGAACCGAATAAGGTATCGAAAAATTCGGTTTTGGCATTTTCGGTTCGGTTCTTGGTATTTTTTGCCCAGGACTATAGTGTTATAGACAAGAAAAAAAACATCTTAGAAATTCACAATGACTCGAGACTAGTTAAGAGTCTGCCCACATCCGATCAAAAAAAAAAAAAAAAAGAGAGTGCCCACACGTTACAGACAAGAAAAGTTATAAGCCCAGTGTCCCACGAGGCAAAGTTGACCAATCTATCTTTATTTCATGTGTATCATGTCCATGGGTTTTTGCCTCAAAGGAACAACAACGTTGGCCGGAATTGGATGGCAGCCCACCTACTTTAAATTTCAAATCATCCATAACTACAGCAATTACAGACCTCTTTAAGCCACAGCACTATCAAAAAGTTGGATTTCCTTATAACGTCCCCAACCCTACCACTTTAGTTAGCTCATAGGAATCCATGTCAGCATTTTTCTGACATGGAAGAGAGAAGATGGAAAAGAGAAGAGACTTTCTCTTATCTCAACACCTATCTCGCTCAGAAAACGAGGTAATTTGTGGGCCTACTCGTAAAGAATGAGAGATGGAGGAGAGAAGATATAGAATAAAAACTTATTTACATGTGAGGTTCACGTAATGAGATGACACTGACATGGCATGTATAAGCTAACTGTTCTCTCATACTATCGAGGACGTCCTTAATCAACCCACCGGTTAAACAACCAGGGGACAAATTGAAACTGCTTTGCACTTTCGATACGAGAACATCTAGTCGCCTCAACTGCATGCTCAAGACAATCTCGAGGGATGCGAATCGAGAATGGACGATTCCACGTTCTTACATGGACTATGATTGATACACCATCAATCAGCTGTAGGTCATCTTTTTAATGTTCACCTGCCTTGATCCTGATGTCATATAAGATTAAAGCAAAGGTCACAAATGTCGACCCCTTGCTTAGGGCCAGTCATGTTGATGAAAGAACCCTACCATAATATTTAATAGCTCTTGGCATCAAAGTAAGAAATATATAAAACTAAATGCTTCCCTTATATGTTTAATCTGTAACAGTGTTTACTTGAAGAATATATCTTACAATGGGTACAAAAGACCTTAGTCACGAATCAAACAAAATGGTTTCAAAGCACATATTGGTCATAGAGATGGGAACTTGCCTCCGATATTATTTAATTACAGTTTTGCTTCGGTGGTCCTCTTTAACCAAGTTGCACGAATCTTAAAGCACCAGGATAATTAATTAAAGTTAATTTCAATATGAATCTGGACTAGGGGCGGCCCAGCCCATGTCCAACCCAAGCCCAGCATCTAGCTGCCCGCTCAGGTCCAAACCATTACTTGACTTGGACTTCGATTTTTTTATATCCGCAGCACAAGGAGGATCAGTAGTCAATTACATAACGAGTTTATAAGCATCGTCATTGTTTTGTACATCAACTACTATTTTGGTGTTTGTCACAATTTCTTATTACCAATGCATATGGTTTTATATAAGAATTCAACATACCAAAGGAGCCACAGAACATATAGACCTTTTAGAGGAAAAACTTGAACAAGCTGTGAATGAAAATGCAAAGCTTATCCGTGAAGCAGACTGAAAATTCGAAACTCTGGCGGGGATTATGTTCGAAAATCTCCTGAGCAAGGAGATTGTGTGATCAATTGACTGCTCTGCAGAAGTTGGCAAGTCACACAGAACAAGGTAACATTTATGGTTGCATTTACTTTGCACGTCTGTTGTTCAGATATGACTGGTGAAACAATACAGTTACAGCTGAGGAAGGTAAGAAGTTACAGCTGACTTGGGAAGAATTCCAAAGCTCTAGACGAATTCAACTGCCTGTTACATGATTTATCAACAGAACTGGAGCAAGCAGAACATAAGATTGTTTTAGGTTGGTCTGTCTCTGCACAATTCAGAACCAGTACAAGTTAATGTAGTTTTTAGAATCGACAACTTAGTAACTTCATGCTTACATTGTGCATATGTTCTGTACTTCTGGGTACATTGATATGATATGTTACTAGACAAAGCCATGTGCAATGTGCTAAAATATTTATGATATTATAATGACAACAGTTGTCTCTTCCCGGGTTAATTTCAAGGATTCTGGAGGTACCATAGATAAACAACGAGATAGAAGAATAGAATATAAGTTTTAAGGAGCGACTGGATTCAAATAATACTACAATAAATAAGACAGGAAAGTAGTAACTTAAATTGCAATCAACACTCTACATGAAAGTAGTAACTCTGAACGGGCAAGTCGTTAGAAACATACAAATGTGTTGATGAGTAAGTCCATAAAATTTTGACGCCCCACTTATTTTATTTTCAAAACTGTGGTCGGAGTTTGAGAAAATGGTGTATGATATTTCATTTAGTGATCACTGCAGGTTCTGATTTTATTTTACTTTTACCTCCGGTTTGGTTTGAGAAGTATGTCTTAATTTATGACTTATTACTGATTTCCCTGTTTTTGTTTGGTTGCAGACAATTTGGTCCAGGAGCAGGATTCGATGAAGTCTGATCAAGAAATGGTGGTATCGTTCTCAACATTTTGCAACTCTTTTGTGTGTTTTGTGGGGAATTATACTGAAATTCTGCTACGAATAAAATCAATTGCATGGACCGCAGGTGTCCCTCAAATTTTGTCCTAGTTGTCCCATCACTATGTTAGTTTCTGCATGATTTAGATGTGGTGTCTATTTGGATAGTGCTATTAGCTAAAAGTTGTCTACCTGGTCAATGTCAATGGGGTACTGTGCGAAATTCCACCTTTAGGAGTCACTTCTTTGTGTCATTAATAAAGCACAATGAAGATAACTCTATTAGATCATAATGAAATTCCACCTTTAGGAGTCACTTCTTTGGTTAATTAATAAAGCACACTGAAGATAGTTCTATTAAATCATAATCGCATAGTAGTATCATTTCTGCAGTTACCTTTCATGTTGCAAATGTTCATGTGCTTTTATGAATTTAATTGAAATTGGATAAAGTACTCAATGAGTTTATCAACATGTATCATTGTTTTCCCACAACAACAATTATTTTGGTATTTTTTAGGATTTCTTTTTACTGATACATATGATTTAATTGCAAGCAAACAAAGTTATCACAATGGAATAAGAAAAGTTCAAAGTTGGTGTAAGTCAAAAGGCACACCTATTGATTTGTCACACTACTTTGGGTCCGGAGCTGAGGTGTACACAACTCTTGGAGATGGTACGTTCCACCTAACATTCGAGTATAAAGTACATGGAAGAATGTGTACCTCAGAGGTTGGTAGGTCAATAAGGTTAAAATATTTGAGAAAAGAGAGATACAATCGAGCATTTCATTCAAGATTCCAGATGCATTGCTATGAAAATGGATTTAACTACTGCGACATATGCAAAGATGGTAATATGGGATTTGTGAGAGTAGGTTTTGAAGCACTGATTGGTTCTTTTGAGGTGCTACACAAATCAATTAGTCTCTCTGATGTTGTCATGAAAGTTGTAGCTGTGTTTGTTGTTAATGAAGTAGAGGCAGCACGATTCGAGTGAGTTTTAGACGACATCTTGGAAGCATTTTGTTGACATCTAGACCCTCGTTTATAACTTCACCTAGGTAAAGGTTACCTCGGGTAACTAGTCCAGTGAAGGTTATTATCTCGGGTAACTAGTCCCACACAGGAAAGTAAATGAGGAGAAAAACTAGGGACTAGAGTTTGAAGAATGGA